CAAGGCTGTAAATCTTCATGGAAGCAGACTGCCTCATCTTTCTCTCGTGCAGTGACTGGTGGGTTTGAACACTTTGGTTAGCAGTCAAATGCTTTAACCACTGTACCACCAGAGCTCCATATGTAAAAAAAAAAAAAAATTTACTGCCATCCAGTCGGATCCAACTCATTGCGACCCCTCCTTGGGTTTCTGAGGCGCTATCTCTACAGAAGTAGATTGCCCAACCTTCCTTCTAAGGAGTGGCTCCATATTAAGTCAAATAAATGTTAACTATTACTAATACCATCAACACCATCATTCTGAAATTTTCATGATGCTTTTCACACTTTATTCTGCCATCAGGTGTAAATGGAGCATCAAGTTTATGAAAGAAAACTATTCATGTGTAAATTTTAAAGCCAAGTCCCTACTCTCACCTTTGACAAACTCTTTCTCCAGAGGAAAAAAAAAATTATACAAAAGTTCAGATAATTTTAGATGCAAATCTTTTTCCTCCCAAGAGTGTCATTTAAGCTGTCTACATGTTCCATCTTTGAAGTTTTAAGTTGTTTTTACTGTGAATGCAAAAGAATTAGTAAGCAAGGGAAGGTCAGACTGAGACGATTCATTCTTCCAGCAGAGGGTAAGCAGCACTGTATAGACTGTAGGAAACGTATGTGAAGTAACAGCAAGACACTTAAAACTGAAGCTGGCACAGTGTCGTGCAAGAAATTGATTTTTTTTTTTTTAAATGAATTTGAAAACAAAACTTGGGCAAATATTCACCAAACGTTAATACGGTCATCACTACGTGACAAATTGTTCAGTGCAGTGAATTGCTTAATATTGCTCTCCTAGCTCTGGTGGAAGGAGCTCTGGTAGCACAGTGCCTAAGGCACTTGATTACTACCAAGAAGGCTGGCGGTTCAAACCCACCAGCCACTCCTTGGAAGGAAGGCTGGGCAATCTACTTCTGTAGTGATGCCACCTCAGAAACCCAAAGAGGAGTCACTATGAGTTGGGGCTGACTCAACAGCACCTAACAACAGCTCTGATGGCATAGTGCCTAAGGGATCTGACTGCTAACCAGAAGGCTGGAGGTTCAAACCCACTAGCCACTCCTCGGAAGGAAAGTTGGGCAATCTATTTCCATAATGATACTGTCTGGGAAACCCAAGGATGGGTTGCTAAGTCAGATCTGACTCCATGGCAAGGTTTTTTTTTGTTTTGTTTTATTTTTTTCTTTTCTTGAGCCATAAACCAAAATAAAAAACCAAACTCACTGCCACTGAGTCGGTTCCAACTCACAGCGACCACCATTGGGTTTCCAAGGCTATAAATCTTTACAGAAGTAGCACCATCTTCCTTCCACGGAACAGCTGGTAGCTTCGAACTGCTGACCTTCTAGTTAGCAGCCAAATGCCTTATCCACTAGTCCTCCATTTTATGATATATTTCAAGTCCTAGCCTCTGTGCCCGTTTAGGTTTTGACACAACCCTGGATGAAGCTCTGGTTAAAGCATTTTGGCTGCTAACCAAAAGGTTGGGAGTTTAAACCTACCAGAACTCCATGGAAGAAAGATGAGGTAGCTTGCTTCCATAAAGATTTACAGCCTTGGAAAGCCTATGGGGCAGTTCTACTCTGTCGTATATAGTTGCTATGAGTCAGAATCAACTTGATGGCAGTAGATTTGGTTTTGGTTTTGGATACAACCCTGTCATTTCCTTCTTTTTTTTCTTCGTCGTTGTCTTTTTTTTTTTTTTTAAACCTCAGATGAAAGGCCCAGGAGCTCTGGTAGCATAGTGCCTAAGGCACTTGACTGCTCACCAGAAGGTTGGCAGTTCAAACCCACCAGCCACTCCTCGGAAGGAAGGTTGGGCAATCCTACTTCCGTAGTGATACTGCCTCAGAAACCCAAGGAGGGGTCGCTATGAGTCAGGGCCGACTCGACGGCAAACAACAACAACAGATGAAAGGCCTAGCAATCTATTTTTGAAAAATCAGCCACTGAAACCCTACAGAACACAGTTCTACTCTGATACACATGGGGTTGCTAAGTCAGAATTGACATGATGGCAACTGGAAAAATAAAAAAAATAAAAAAAAGGCAACATGATATCAACCTCATAGGATTGTTTTGAGGAGTACAAGACTTAATGTAGATAACAGCTGTTAGATGGGCGACCAGCACGTGGTAAGTGTGGCCCATTAGTATAATAGGGCAGTTCTGCTTTCAATTAAGAAGCCACACAAAGACTGAAATCTGATTGAGGGTAACAGTTCTCATTGTAAAGTAGCAAAATGACAAACTGATTTCTACAGTGGTGCTCTATTTGGCATTTAGATCTCATCTATAAATTAGCATGGAGTCAAAGTTCTCTCCACACCATGTATCGTTCACCTTCTTGCTTTCTGATTTACTGAGTAGAAGAAAGCACTGGTATCAAACAGAAATGGATTTTGGGAGTATGTGTCCCAGGTGGAAAATGGATAATCCCTAAAACACACCCAGGCATGCATTTTTGTGGGGACACACACACACACACACACACACACACATATCACTGTTGATGTCTCTCCAGGTACAGCACCAAAAAAAGAAAAGAAAAAAACGGTTACCAATGAGTCGATCCCCACTCATGGCAACCCCACGTAGTCAGAGTACAACTGTGCTTTCACAGGGTTTTCAAGGCTGATTCTTTGGAAACAGACTGCCAGGACTTTGTTCCCAGACACCTCTGGGTGGACTCTCATCTCCAACGTTTCGGTTAGCAGTTGAGCAACTGCGACTCAGATGCAGCAGATTTCTCTTAAAGTGTCTGGAGATAATGAAGATCTTACACAGCTACTCATGCATGACATTCTTTAAATACCTGTTTAACTATCACAAAGCAACTCTGCTTGTTGGATACTTCAGGTCCTGATTCACATCTGAGTTTAGAAAGCTGCCATTTCATGCATATGTACTTAAAATGTACTTAAAATGCAAATTCTCATCAGATTCCACATCTAACAGAGTAAAACCCAGTCATCTGAGTACACATCTAACAGAGTACAGCCCCAACTGTCACCCCACACCCACGGCTGAGGAGCACAATATGCCCGAGAAGCTTCTCTCCCAACCCATCAAACCCTAAATCATCAGTAAATGACTGTTCCACCTATGTGAGTAGGATATAACTTTCAATTAAAAAGACTTTATAGCTCCACTTTATGACAAGAAGACTTTAAAGCTCCACTCCGCCAAGAAAGAAAACTGGATAATCATGGAAGCTGTAATACTTTACCAATGTTCAGGGAAAAAAATCTTTTAAAATAAGTTTGTATATATATACAATTGAAACTATCTCTGACAACGGAAGTTACCTCAAAATTTGATGTAAATGGATTAAGTTTCAACCTTTGCTGTAATGAAGGTACATGAGATTGGAAGAAAAACCTGACTAGATTGGGGCCATTGATCTTGCATTTCCTACGCTTCCCATTATCTACCAGAATGAAGGCACCAAAGACTTCATTTCTGTTACAGTATGGAATTGAACTACTACAGACCATTTAAATTTCTCTCGTTTCCCCATATCACAGAAAATATTCTAGGAACTGGGGAATTACCAGGACTATCTGTCAAGACTCAAATGGGTTCCTTTGGTTGGTTCGTTGGTTGGTGTATGTGTCAAAAAAGCTGCTTTAGGGAATTTAGTAATCTCACCACCGGCAAATTCAACGCATGAACTGCGATGATAAAGTGTCATTTCCGAATAGTAACAGCCGAGATTACTCTGCCTCAGCCTAGATTCTTCCTGCCATGAGCACTAATAGAGAGAGAGCTTGCTAAAATGCTTTCCCAAGACCCCGAAGTCAATTTCAAACGCCGATTCTCTAAACAGTCCCGAAGGAGCCTCGCTCGCCCACCCCACCCTGCAAGCAGCGCACTTCCCGTTCGCTCTGGCCGGTCAAGAACTCTAACTTGACAGTGTCATACACCAAAAAAAAGAGGAAGTGGCTAAAAGGCCATTTCAAGAAATATTTAATTTTTTCAGAAAATGAGCATCCATGGTTCTGTCTTCCCAGAAGACTTC